TAATGTTTACAGGTTTCAGTGTTCTTTGTGTATGCATTAGGGATATCCATCCTTTTATACATACTGCAGATATTCCCTCCAGTTTTTTTTTTTTTAATGTATTGTGGTGAATTTTGAACCATTATAGAAGTTGGAATGGATTTTTTAAAATAAATTTATTTATTTATTATTTTTTGGCTGCGTTGGGTCTTTGTTGCTGTGCGCGGCTTTCTCTAGTTGCAGCGAGCAGGGGCTACTCTTCGTTGTGGTGCGCGGGCTTCTCATTGCGGTGGCTTCTCTTGTCGTGGAGCTCGGGCTCTAGGCACGCAGGCTTCAGTAGTTGTGGCACGTGGACTCAGTAGCTGTGGCTCGCAGGTTCTAGAGTGCAGGCTCAGTAGTTGTGGCACACGGGCTTAGTTGCTCTGCGGCATGTGGGATCTTCCAGGACCAGGGCTGGAACCTGTGTCCCCTGCATTGGCAGGTGGATTCTTAGCCACTGCGCCACCAGGGAAGCCCCAGTATGGATTTTTTAATGTAATCAGTTCAGTCCTTTTCTTTATGATTTTTGACTTCTGCGTCCTTTTGAAAAGCCTCTACCGCTCCAAACACCACAACTCCTATTGTTAGTACCATGTGCTAGTACTAGCTACTCGGGTTATGAGCTTTAGAGTGTATACATTGTGGCCCAGAGAAAGCACGTCACATACAAAGAACGGCTGGTGAGAGAGGAGAGACAGCAGGAAGTGGAGGTGGATGGACCCTGGTTCTATTTCCGGCTCTGTGCCTGTGAGCTAAGCTGTGTGCTTTGGTGCAAGGGCTTTTGTGTCCCTGAGCCTGTTTCCTCACCTATAGAAGGGCCTCACCGTGGCCGTCATAGCTCCCAGGCAAGTTTAGATGCCGAAACGAGAAGGAACATGAGGGACCATTTTCAACTCGAAGCCCTGGTGATAGAGATGAGGAAACAGAGGCCCCTGGAGTGAATTAGCCCAAATGACTATTCCCAGCCCAGTGCCCCCTCCTCTGGCCACCATCAGAGCCTCTCCAGTGGCATGGCTTTCAGCTCCAGGGGCATCCTGGAGGGTGGAACTTGGCTTCCTTGCTTCCCATGGCCTCCCAGATTGCTGGGCAGAGTGGTGGCCAGAGAAGGGTGGAGGAGACTGTCTTCTTCCATCTCTCCCCTCAGGAGAACCAATTTAAGTCCCTTCCCAATAGACCATTAACTCCTTCACTGCTGGTGCAATCTTCCTACTCCCTCCCACCTTGTCCCCTCCCCCCAGCACACATATCCCCAAATGCCCTGAGTGATGGGCAGTCACAGGTCCCTCAGGACACCTGCTGGCTAATCCTGGCTTATTGAGGGCAAGGCAGGCTGTCTGGAGGGTAAGACGTTGGAATTAGCAACTTCTGAGCCTTCCCACATGCCAGGCCCCAGTGGAGCAGCTGAGAGAGCTGTGCTTTGGAATCATAACCCTGCCCTACCAGTACCGGCTGAGTGGCCTTGGGAGGTGGTAAACCAGCCAAACCTCTGCCTAGAAATACTGCCCACTGATTTCTGCACCCTAGCAGTGCTGCATGAGTTAGCAGTGAGTAAACCAGTGGTGTGTAAGTATCCAGGTCTGCTCCTGGCCTGCAGGAGGTGTCTTCGGGGGAAGTGAATTCCCTTCCTCGGGCTCATGTCACCCCTACAGATGGGTTTGTAGGACCTCATACTTAGTTTCATCATCAACCACAGTTCACTCCCCCACATGTAACCCAGCTTGTACATTTTCTGTTCCCTGAAGTCTCCAGTGTAGGCCTGGGAAGGGCAGGGCGTGAAGAGGACATCAGTCCTGATGCAGGCACACGTCTGAGGGAAGCCTGCAGATTCCCATCCAGACATAGGCAGGAAAGAGGGGAAGGCGGAAAAATTGGCCCACTGTCCCCCCTCGAGCCCTCCTACTTGGCCCCAGGCCTCCCTGGCCCTGGGCCCAGCCTGCCCAGCGGACACACGCCTGCAGGCCTCACCAGGAGGCGCCAGCCCGGCAGCGGGCCTCACGCCCAAAGGTGAAGCATGAGCAGTTCTCGCCAAACCCCCTAAGCTTTATTTCCCTGACAGTTGTCCCAGAGGGGAGGCACAGAGGACATAGAGGGTGCAGAGGATGCAGAGGACGTAGATGAGGCACCACTCATGGCCTAGTCTGCCAAATGCCTGGCTGGACTCGGGGCTGCCAGGGAGTCACTGAGAGCCTTTGGGCAACTGCCATGCTGCTGGGCCCTCACTTCTGGGGCCCTAGGGAGCTCATCACAGCAATCAGGGGGCTGGAGCTACCATCTTAGGCAGTTCCTGGGAATCTGGGAGTGGGAGGGACATTAGTCACCTCTCCTGACCTCACTGCAAGAACCGCAGGCCAGTTATTAGGAAGGTTGAATTACAAACCGTTCCAGATATCCCCATTGACCAGGTGGGAAAATTAAGGCTCAGAGAGGTCACCTAGAGAGTTGGGGGCATAGCTGGGCTGAAACCTAGGTCTCTCGACCCCTAGGCTGCTAGTCGTGCTCCTATATCACCGAACCAGATCAAACCTGCTGGGGAGTGAGTGGGTTACGGGGTGTGCAGTGAGGGTGGCACACTGATCTATGAGGGTAGGGGGTGGCTTTGTGGCTGCTTCTCCTTCTTTCCCCCTCCACCTGGCAGGCGTTCCTTCTGAGTACTGACCTCCCTCCCCCTCCTCCCGCCCTGGCCTGGCAGAGGAGTAGGGGAGGAGGGGGCAGCTTTCAACACCTCTGCAGATGGCCATGGCTTCTGCTGAGTCCTGGGTGGGGGGAGGGGCCCCTCAGCCAGAGGAAGGGAAGGAGAGTCTCTGTAGGGCTGGCACTTCTGGGGCTGGGGAGCGGGGCGATGTTCTCACCTCCTAATTAGTCATCTTGTTAGGCAAGGACCACAGCCTGTACCAGGAAGGTCTTTCTGAGAAAGAGTCAGACGTGCAGGAAGTGAAGGAACAAGCCACAGAGATGGACATGTCGGGAAGAGCAGTTCAGGCAGAAGGGTCAGCCAGGGCAAAGGCTGGGAGGCCAGAGCCAGCTTGGTGGTTGCGAGAAACCACTAGAAGGCCAGTGTGGCTGGAGTGAGTGGGCAAGGGGCCCAGAGATGAGACGAGGTCAGTTTCCTGGAGCAGAGTGTATAGTCCTTACAGGCCACAGTGAGGCTCTGTGTGAAACAAGGAGCTACTACTGCAGGATTTTGAGCAGAGAAGTGATGTGGTCTGGTTGAAATTTGTAGGGGATCACTCTGGCTGTTCTGTGAGATGGGGCAGGGCAGAGGGAGGGCCAGAGCAAACAAGCGAGAAAGCAAAGAGGAGGCAAGTGCAGGAATTCCATGTCTTGAATCCAAGCGGAGATGGTGAGAAGAGGTCAGATTCTAGACATGGTGTGAAGGTAGAGCTGGCAGGAGATGCTGACAGATTGGAGTAGCGCAGGGAACTGCGTGAAATAGCAGCCATAAAAAGCTCTTCCCTTTGCCTCGGCCCGGAGGCTTCCCAGAGTCAGAAGCAAATGTGCCCGGGACCCCCAGGCTCAAAGCGGGAGAAGTGTATGGGGAACCTGGACCCTCACAGAGGAAGCAGGGCAAGTTTCAGACGGTCTGGTTTAAGCACTCGTCGTTCCATTGGGGAAACCGATTCTCAGAGCACAACTGGCTTTGGGTCCCGCCGTGGTGAGAGGTAGAGCTGGTTTAAAGCCAGCCCTCCAGACACTCAGCGCTCACCAGGACGGAGTCAGGGGACCCAGCCTGCTGGGGCTGCCACCAGCACAAAGCCTGCCTCGGACCAGGCCCTCCTCTTCTCTGGGCCTCTGTCTCACATCGTTCTCTATGGTCTCCGTGGACTCTTCCCGCTCGGAGGACTCCGCCACCCCTGCCACAGCCTGCCCTGAAATGCAGGACTGACAGGCCAAGCTTCCCAGATAAGAGGGTCAGCCCCCGGTGACGCCCTGCCCCAGGGCCCCATCTCCAACTTGAAGAGATCCACTGCTTCTGTCCCAGGGCCAGGAGGGCCTCTCACATCAGCTGGTGCTGATTAATCAGCGGGAGGGACAGAAGGTCGGGGGGGGGGGGGGGG